GTTCTCTCGTCCAGCCTATCTTGCACACGACATCGTGTTTGATGCTGGGGTCGCACTGCGACACCAGTTGCGCCCGGAACACGACCCCGGCGGATCGACCCTCAGCGCTCAGTTGCGCCTCAAACCGAATTGAGTAGGTCTCTCCGGCTGCGGGGATGAATCTACAGCAGCGTAATTGCAAAGGCGTACCATTGAAGCGGCCATAGTAGTCGGCGAGGAAGTTGGGTATTGTTCGACCAAACAACGAAGCACCGTTGAGGATGGGGATCTAGCAAGTGTAAGCCTCTTGAGACAAATCAGGAAAATGGTTCGACGACGTACTATGTAGATCGTGAAGCTATGAGATACTCCATGCAAGGAACCGTAAAGCTGGAGATAGAAGACTGCGATGCGTGATTGCGCGGTGAGTTCAAACAATCGAACCTGCGATGAGACAGGGCATACACGGGAAGAAAAGACCCCAGAATGTAAAGAACGCCCTGCAAATGAAGACAACGGATGTCGTTATCTGCCTAATTAGAGGATAGCGGATGGATGTACCCAGCTACACAAATCATGTACGGAACATCGATAAGCAAGGGTTTGACTACAATTGGGGGAGCATCAGGTCTTTCTCTGCGGCTGGGGAGTCTTGTCTTCATGGAGAGGAAAGAAAGTGACAAGAGGAGCAGCGATATGAACCCATAGGCTCTAATGTTGTATATCAGTAAGCCGGTACACGTGAGGAGCAAACGACACAAATACCTCACTGCCCATCCAAAACCCGCTGAGCTGTTGATCAGGTGGTTGAGCATGATGGGCCAAATGACGCCACCCAACGAGGCACCTTCAGGAATGCCAGTCAGGGTGGATTAAAATCGAAGGAGAGCGCCCTGAGTGGGACTTGCCTGCAATGACGCATCCCATAGCTAGCGAGCGTCGTGCACGAAAATACTGTGATGAAATTGACAGGGATGGAAGAAATAGCAAGCCCATGCCCAACCCGACGCCCAGGCCTTGCGATAAGAACGTTTCGTAGTACTTGTGGGGTTTAGTCAGGGACAGCATGAAGACCCTATGGAAAGGCAGGCGTGTCAGTAGATTATCAGCGTGACACTGAAGTGGCATACGAGAAGAGATAGAGCAAGGAACCACAGGCTATCAGGTACCGGAAGAATCCTTCGTCATAGAGGCGACCAGACGGCAGAGCGACAGCAAAGAGCAGGAAGAGTTGGAAGGAGCCTATCCAACTAATCTGGGACGGACTGTGCTCTTTCAGCGACACACGCTAGATGGTAGAGTCAGTTGATGACGGCGTCGGCTACACATAGCGCGCACCGTGTAGTAATCCTGGAAGACACCGAAGGACTGTACGATGCCAAATGTGCACATGACGACCATAGATCTGTCAAGTCGTTTTAATGTGAACCTCTTGGAATCCGTAATGGACAGAGGTGCTATACCCTCCAAGAACAGTCAGCCATGCTCTCAGACCGCCCTCTGGGAAAGATGACGAGGTTGTGGGTGAGTTCGTTTTCGTCGTCAGCTCGTCGTTAACGGAGCCTTTTTGAGGCGGTTTCTCTGCCATCTGTGAGGCGGCCTCAGAAAGGTTCTGTGATTCGTGAAAAGAGGCCATGCTGGTTTTTGGAGATGGCCTCTAGGGAGAGAGCAGTGGGATGAGGATGAGACGGGGGCAGGACCTCCGCAGTCTGGACCGCGTTAAGGGTGGGAGGACTCGTGCCGCGTGCTGTTCATCGTAAAGTCGATGCGGAAGAAGCATGGAAGGTGCCAGGACCCCAGAGCCCGCATGAGCTGCTGTGAATAAATATTCTCGGCGGCGAGTCTGGTTGAAGGTGCAGCTTCTTAGCGGTTCGGTCGGAGGTGAGCCAATTAGCGCTGGGACTGGCATCGATCGCGAGCGCCCGGGTACTCAAAATGCCGCTTTCCCTCGGGCGCGCTAATCCCAGATGATGATCTCGCTTCCTTCCATTCCCTATCTATCTCCTCCGTGACCTAGTCTGGTCTGAAGCTAAGCCTGAATGTCAAACTGTCGCGGGATCGCTCGCCGGCACACAGGTCCAAGAACTCACGTTCACCGAAGAATGTACTTCTCCATGCGGTGCCGTACTTCTTTGTCTGTACCTCCTACCCATACAGCACCTCTTCAAATGCGCGCTGGCTGGTGTGGTTCCCACATCTGCATATTGTCTTCCTCCTGATCTCACGGGAGTACCCCGAGGCACCGGTGTATTAGTGCGAAGGCTCGTCGAAACCTCTTCCTGGAGGGGTTTTCCTGCTACAGTATACAAGCTTCCTAATGCAAAGTGCGTAACATATACCTTTTGACATATTCTAGTTCAGTAGCAATTCACGGTATACGCCTGTCCGCTTAAGCGATTACTCGCCTCTCTTTCCCGCTTAAATTGAGCCCACCCTGCTCGATAGGAAGAATAGGACCCTGGATTTGACATGTCTCATATCAGTTTTCTACAGATCAGTTGATGATACTTCTAGCCTTACGTCAAAGCCGATACGACCTGTGGCGAGAGTTGCTATAAGTACCCATCACCACGAACATAAGGATGCTGCCATACCTTCGCAATGCTCGACCTCTCCAAGAATCCGTTGTTCGACCTGAACTCCCGCACACTCAGTGTGGACGAGAGGGTGGCCCTCTCCTATGCACGCGCAAGACTTGTCCTTCGTTCCTACAGTAGGCATGCATCTGTTGAAAGAGAGTTTGGATTGCTAACAGACGTGTCAGATCTCTCAATCAGCGATGTGCAGAGCTTCACCCCGAAGTTCTGGGCCATGCATCTCGACCCCATTCTTCCGCTAGATTTTGGCTGTTTCACTATCCTGGCTGCGCACTTGAATCTCACGGTGGGCACGATTGCTAGATACCTTCCCCAACAACCAGACTTGATCCCTCTGGTCAAATCCCTCCTGAATCTGGACACAGTAGGCGTGTTCCTGCTCAGCGAGCGTGGGCACGGCCTTGATGCCTTCAACATTGAGACCACCGCCACCAAGCACAAGAATGGATTCATCCTCCACACACCTCGCGAGGAAGCTACCAAGTGCGTACACCAGCGGCTGGCTCTCGCATCATATGTGTTGTATTTCCGCTGACATCAATTCCCCAGGTTCATGCCTGCAACGACGCCCGCCTTCGGGATTCCCAAGGTAGCAGTAGTCATGGCCCGTCTCATCGTAGACGGCGAAGACCGCGGCTCGCGCTTCTTCCTCGTCCCGATCTGCACTGCCAAAGAGATGTATCCAGGCGTGACATCCACCCGGCTCCCGCGGCGCAGCGGCACGTCCCCGCTCGACTTCTCCATGACCTCCTTCAACCACGTGTTCCTGCCTGCCTCTGCGCTGCTCGGCGGGTCGCTCGACGCGCCGACGGACGCGCGCAGCGCCTGGTGGGACGAGGTGTGGCGCATCCCGTACGGCAGCATGGCGGTGGCGGCGCCCCTGATGCAGGGCCTCAAGCATGTCGCGTACATCGGCGGGCAGTACTCCCTCCGCCGGCATGTTCGGGTGCACGGCCCCACGCCTGTACCGATTATGACGTTCCCAACCCAGCAGTTGGCTGTGCTCTATGCAGTCGCGGCGGGTACAATCCTCGACGTGTGGTACCGCTCTGTAACCCTATTGTTGGCAGATCAATCTGTGGACGACCGCGTCAAGCACGGCATGGCCGTGGTGGTGAAAGCGACGGTAGCCCGTCAAGCTATCGCGTACACCCAAGAGA